AAAACAAAGCAGAAACAAACAAAATCGACGAGAAATTGTCGCAAATTTTACTTATTTCGGAACGCGTGCGAACAGCATGCGGGCGCTCGTGCGAATGGCGCACGGCTGCCGCTCGCTGTGTGACGATACCCCTTCTCTTGGCCAGTCGCCTGCCCCCCCGCCCGCGGGCCAGTGCGAGCGCGTTCATGCCCCGCCCCGCGCCCCGCGTGCCTCGCGTGCCACCAGCGTCCCATCAAACTTCGCCAGTAGAAACAATACAAGCAAGCTGTCTGATAATAACCAACAATAAGAAATATAATAATGTCATTGAATTTAATTATAGGTATAACACTTTAAGCAGTTAGGACGCATTTAGATTATATAGCTACATTCACCAAAACATCGGGATTGAATGACGATGAGTGAGGTCGTCTTTGCCGTTTGAAAAATGTTGCCCTCCCCATACATAGTATAATAACTCGCGGTCATTGCTGTAACTACAATTATGTTTACAATCACAATTTTTTTGGTGGTATAACTACTTAAAATTTTAAGCTTTTCGGAATTTTTCTGTTACCTGTGCTGTAAGCTATTGCTTCTTACCAAATTTCGAGAGTCTATGTCAACGGGAAGTGGTCTTTAGGTTTTAATTCCCTTGCGTGTAGTTGCGAGTTTCAAAATATGCGGTATCAATGGTTGTAATTTTGCGTTTTGCGTTTTTGCGTTGACTTAGATTTTTTTTTTTTCACGGGTTAAAGGCAATTAGATCTAAGTATTTGATATGAATTTCAACTTGATAGCTCTACGCGTTCATGAGGAAAAAAGTAATAAGTTTATATTTATTAAAAAATATATATTTTGTAATGTAACTAAAAATTTAAGGTTTTCGGAATTTTTCCTTTATGTGTGCTATAAAACGTTGCTTCATGCCAAATTTCAAGATTCTAGGTCGACTGGAAGTACCCTTTAGGTTTTGATTCCCTTGCGAGTACTTGCGAGTTTCAAAATATGCAGCTTAAATTGCTGTTTCTTTTGATTGCGTTGACATAGAAGTTTGATTTTGTTACAGCTTAAAGGTATTATAGACCTGAGTATTTGGTATGAATTTCAATTTAATACCTCTACGCGTTTATGAGGAAATGGGTAGTAAGGTAAAAATTATTAAAAAAAAACATATTATGTGATGTAACTAAAAATTTATGGTTTTCGTAATTTTTCCTTTATCTATGCTATAAGACGTTGCTTGGTACCAAATTTCAAGATTCTGAGTTCACGGGAAGCACCCTGTAGGTTTTGATTCCCTTGCAAGTGTCGAAAATTTGCGGCATAAACGGCTGTATCTTTTGATTGCGTTGGCTTAGAATTTTGATTTTTTCACAGCTTCAAGGGACAGTAGACCTGAGTAATTGATATAAATTTCAGCTTCATACCTCCACGCGTTCCTGAGAAAAAGGGTCTTGACAGACGGACGGACGGACAGACGGACAACAAAGTGATCCTATAAGGGTTCCGTTTTTCCTTTTGAGGTACGGAACCCTAAAAATAAAAAAAACTTTAATACTTGTAAAGTTATTCATTTGACATTGCGGGTGACCTACAATGCGAACAGACGGCGCTGTCTTGCAGCCTTAGGCTAGGGAAAATTCGACACGGCCGTTAGGGCCGCGGTACCGGAAATGTGTCGGTCAAGTGGGTAGTTAATTAACTATAATCGGAGAATTTATCTGAAATACGAGGTAGATGCTGAGTGATCTTGTATGCTCAGACCCTGGTGGATTTCTTCCCCCTCTAATGTAGCGCTGCTAGCGCTCTGGGTGCAGTCGGGCTTCGGCGGTGACGGGCACAGTATGTGACGCTTGTCATCGCCACCAGTGATCGCTTCGTCATCAAAGAATAGGCTAGTTGACCCTTTTTGGAAAAAGGTTTTAAATGGTTAATAAATGTTCTATTAGACCGAAAAAAAATGTATTGTATTTTTTTGAGACCTAAAAAGCCACAAATCTTTAATTTTAAAATTGATTTTTCATGGACATACAAAAACGCTATCGGCCATTTTAGTCTATAGATTATCTATGCTATGACGTTAACTGCAGTAAACACATAGAGAAAGTTATATAAACAAAAACTCGTAAGAAAATCAACTGACTTTTTAATAAACAAAAGATGATTTCTACTAAATACCCCGAAAAATAAAGTAATTATCATTATTGTATTGTACGAGAACATAAAAACACATCCTTGAAGATTCCAGGAAAGTTGTGAATTAAAAGTGCCGAAAGAAATTAACCTACGCAACTTTATTACACTTATTCATATGTTGTATCAGTTTTATGTTTATTACTACATTGTAATATTAAATACACTGTACTTACATAGATGCCTTGTCGTTTCTCTACTCCGCAGAGCAGAAATCGGGGTTTAGTGAAATAAATTCACCAACCATGAATGCGTCCATTCTTGGCAATTTGTGCTTTCTGTTTTCACAAAGCCGGCATCCATAATTAGTTTTTTAAAAAAAAAACAGTAAACGGAAACTTTTCTAAAGTTAAAAGTGTTTTATGATACATTAAGTCAGACGAAAGAATCCACCCACATAACACGCGAACCCACATTTAGTTGTTTACCATATGAGACGTCACAATCATGGCGGATGTGGCGAATAGCGTTTTTAGTGTTTAAAAAATATAGACCAAAAAAAAAATGGTTGCCTGTAAAGTCGGTTTTACGGGCGAAGATTTTACGTGACAACGTCTTTTTCTCGGTAGAATATTTATTGATATGAATATAATTAAATTGCACAATAGGAACAAGGAATTGAATGAAAATAAGAATTGCACAAATTTTAACTATAGAAATATATTTTGTTTACTAAAACATTGTACATGTAAACTTAAACTTAACACGAGAGACTCATCGTAACGTTACCGAGCGTTACACTTTTTCATAAGTGACTCCCAGCCGCAACCTAATTTAAGACGTTGTCACGTCAAAAATATTTTTTAAAATTAAATTTCTACAGCAATCTTCTGCTTTTATGAAGTGAAATCGATATATTTAGGTTCCTTAGACCAAATACTTTAAGAAATAAGCATTTATTTAATACAATTCGACATGAGTCAACTAGCCTATTATCGGCGGCGCGGATCACGAGGGTAAGCATCCACCGGTACATAGCGAGGGGTGGGCTGAAAAACAGTCCCTCCCATGCTGTGCTCAGCGGTGCTCGTGGGGAGAGCTGGTGCGCGGTCTCATTGGCTGCTAGCACTGCAATGGCGTCGGCGGGGCTTGATACTCTATTTTATGGGAAATGGTGGTTATGCATTCGTTGGTGTTTTTCCTTCTTCTGTCCGTCGGCTTCCGTTGCTAGGGCGGAAGCGTCATTGCGGCGGGTGCCGGGAGTTTGGCAGGGAGGGTAGAAAAAATACTGGTGGGTAATAGAATTTAAAAAAATAACAGGGTATGTCGAAATTGGAAATGAGGGTTTAATTTTGGATTAGGGGCATTAATCCGGATTGGATTAATGTGGGGTCGGGGGACACCCAGGGATTATTGCCACGAAGATCACTTAGTGCCAGTATCACCGTGCTGCTGATTTAACTGCACAAGTTTCTATTTCACGGAATATGGACAGTCGGCACAGTGAGTTCTTACGCGCGAGCGCGGAGGCGCGTAGTAGTCTCATAGAGGTATAAGAATAGAGTGGGGAAGGCGGCTCTAAAAGTGTCCGTCTAGTAGGAAGAGAAAGAAGATGAGAGACGGCTAGCCTTTTTCTCTCTAATCGCGAATGCGCATTGGATGAAAAACTTACGGATGAATACCGACCAATCACACGACTGCGCAGCGTCACAAGAGAGAGAGATAGCTAGCCGTCTCTCATCTTCTTTCTAGAGTACATATCTCCCCTCCCCTATTCTATTCTTATACTTCTATGAGTAGTCTCGGTGCGAGTGCGAGGAAGAGAGGGCGGGTGTGAAACGGCGAAAGCCACAAACACACAAAAAAAGAGGCCGGGCTCGACGTGAACGGAGCCACACAATCATTTTGCGACGGCAACATAGTTCGATGTTCTTGTACCTTTTGAGTTGACAGAGGGGAAATGCCTGTAATGGCGTTTCCCGTTATAGATACTCAAAGGTTTTTGTAGTCGAATTAGTTTATATTGGCGCCAAGGCACCTAATGAAGAGAAAGAAGTCTTGCTTAATTTTAATTGAGATCTATAATTTTAGTGGCATTAGGGAATCAAAAATTATTTAAATAGGTACATATTTAGAATATAATCAGCAAAAACTAGTAATTAATCCTCAAAAAAATACAATTCGTAACCTAATATATCCTTTAGGTTACCAATTGTATTTATTTATGTGATATTTTTTTTATGTTCATTTACTTAATTCCCTTTATATAAAGAAAAAAGTGCCGAAGTATTTAGAGAAGTTTATAAAAATTTGACGCCTAAGGGTACGGCCAGAGTGCACTCAGATTCAGATTCAGACTCAGAAAACAAGCGCGAGAAATATACAGTGTAGCTAAGCAGGGTGGCCATAGTGGTAGCAGGCAACCTGCTTAAACTACACTGTATATTTCTCGCGCTTGTTTTCTGAGTCTGAATCTGAATCTGAGTGCACTCTGGCCGTACCCTAACGGTACTGCTTTGGAAAACGCTATCGCTTACGATATCATTTTGTTACTTCTGGCCGCCGAAGTTTTTCAAATACCTCACGCTCATTTTCTTTAATATTTTTTATAACTATGCAAAGAAAAAAAACGAGGTGTTTGAAATCCTCAAGAGGTGGCTAGAAATAACAAAATGAAATCGTAGGCGATAGCGCTTTCCTAAGCAATTCCGATAAGGCGAATGGCTCCCGGGTATCGTAACGATCGCGACGCCCGCGTCGTTAAAACCGAGACAAATTTTGCTTTCAGACCACAGATTATACTAGGTTAGGACCCGATTGATGAGCCTTTTGAAAGAGCCCTTAAAATAGGGTAGTGTAATAGCTTTTTGACTGCTAGGCTACGTTCCAAACCTACGCTCTGAGTGCAACTGTTTACCCTGACATTTCAATTAAAAAATAAAATGTATGAAACATGTCAATTTTGACAGACTACTGTTTGTTGCACCTTTGACCGTAGGTTTGAAACGTAGCTTTGTTTTTCTGTTTTATGGAAAATACATATTGAAAATCAAGAATTTTACAGAGTTTAACTGTAATAGAGTTAAATAGTGCTTTTTATGATAAAGTAAGCGATTTAATTAAAGTGTACACATCACTGTCATGTGATTTTTTCAGTGTTTTCTGCAGAATTTTTTGAAATGTGTGATATTGAAGAACCGCCAACGAAGATGTCTAAATTCGACGAGGTAACAAAATGAATAAATACATTTGATGCTTTCAATTGCACACAAATGTAAAGTTATATATGTTATTGTTAAAAGATGCGGTAGTTAATTCATTTTTTTTCGCAAATAGTTCGAGTGCGAGACTGTGCGAGGTTTGAATTCGAAGAAACATTACCTAATTATAATCTTCTGTATTTGATCGCATCACGTTACCGGTGCCAGATGACATTGATATTACATGCATATTTTCTATTATTTTTAAGGTGACGACAAAATCGAAGACTTCTCTGTTATTATGTAAATCAAACACAGTCAATTGTGTTGGTAAACTTTACCAAAAAGTAGCCTCTCTTTATCTCCCCATTACTAGAACTATTGATGAACCATTTAATTAATTATTTATCAGACAGAATCCACTGGGAGAAAACTAATCTACATCTACCAGTGGTAATTTCTGCTTAACAAGCTGAATGATGAATTTAGACTGAAGTTATTGTATGGATATAGTACTAAAAGAAAGTTTTAAGGATGGTATGGAAATGAGTCGTATAGTATAGGTGGCAGAGTAGGGCGAACCAAATATTTGGCAAATCAAAACAAACTGTTTAGTCTCGTCTTTAAGGGAGGATAAAATATTGACATTTCACTACGATTTGTAGTTATGATGATTGTCAATTATAAAAATCCTCCTTTAAAGACGAGACTAAACAGTTTTTTTTGATTTGCCAAATATTTGGTTCGCCCTACTTTGCCGCCTTTGATACTATACGACTCAAATGTCAGAGGACTTTTATGATTATGTATTATTATTTTTTTCTTGTAACAAGATAACTGGATAAGATAGGCTGGTGGGGAGGAGTCATTTGTCGGACCAATCCATATTAAAATAATATTATTATGGAAAGTTAAAGATTACAATTAAAATGTTTAGAGGTTGACAGAAAGGTTGCAGGTTGTTTTTGACTGACATAAATATAATGAAAAAAACCGAAAAACTTTTTTGTACTAATACATGAACATTATTTAATGTACAGTATCCTCGCACCATGGAAATACATGTGATATATTACTACTACCCTCGCCCCCTTGTGATATTTCGTGCTTTTTTAAGGACCCCCCCCCCCCCACCCCTTCGTGCCTAACGTGATTAATGGACAGCCCCTTAGTACTCCTCGTTTCACCATTTATTCACCAGCTGTGCCGTCATGCCAATCTCATCGAAGTGCCACAACATCTTGGTCGCACAAAATCACTAGAAATAAATTATATAAAATGCAGTTTTTATTATTATCAGTATTCAAAAGCAGATAAGTTTCCGTTAAATCTGTTATTATTATTTCTTCAGATGTCCCAAACATATACCCAAGAAGAGGATGTAGAAGAAGGCCAGGAAGAAGCTCAGGAAGAGTGGTTGAGCGAAGAAATGCTCACCGATGAGGACGGTAACACCACTGTAAGTTCATACATTTATACAGATCTGTTTGTGTCAATTAAACTGGATTCCCTCTATCTGGCAGAACTGTGTTGCTCTGAAATTCATTGACAATAATCTGCTTAGAAATATTTGAAAGACTTTTATATTATTGTTTGTCAGGTAAGTCAAATTCACCGTGTATGTCCAAATTCACAATGGCATACTTTCTGATCTTAATTACTTTGATGATTATGACTTCCTGTGCTATGTTATGGCCATCGCTTGTCCTCAATCAGTGTGTTTTGAATTACTGACTACATGATTTCTAACAACATTAAGTAGCAGCTTTAGTACGAGTTTGAGCACATGAAAACTATGATAGTTTTCGTAATTGTAGATTATGTTTCTATGTCCGTTTTGGTGAAAAGTATGTAATCTTAAAAAATAAAAAGTTTGTTGTGAAAATTACTTTAAATGGATAGGTCGAAATTAATTAAATAGAATACTCGGGCGCCAGACCTACCACATTATTATACCATATTAGCCGGGAAAGCAAAGGACTATTAATCGCGAGGGAAGTCTAATGCAAATCCATGTTCATTTTGGGTTTGTAATTTATTTAAATTTACTGCAAGATTACTTGCGTCCAAAAGGGTTACTGCTAAATTTAGAAACTATTCTACACTATGACTACCAAGAATTAAATGAAAATTTACCTTAAATATGGGTGCTGGTACAACCATAAATTTGAATATTACCGACTTTGCTGCATCTTTGGAGTTATGTATGTTTGGTGTTGCAAATATGTAAGGGATGGCCGTTTTTAGGTCCCGTGGGTTCACCTCCACATCACGGGAAACATCGTGATTTGAATACGATTTCCAAATTAAATTTCAAATATAAAAAATAACGCTTTTCGCGTTTTTTAAACAAATTAAGCTTGGAATAAGATCGCCGCCATTCCGCGCAAACAGTGTGAAATATTACATCATTAAAAAACAATCAATAATATAAGGGATTATCCATTAAACTGTTGGAATACAAAAAGTGCCCTTCCTTTGGCCTAAAAATTACGTCGTGAAGTCAAGTGACAGTTCTTTTCTTCAGTTTGTCTTGGCGGTAGGCAAAGAGAACAACGTCCATTCAGCCTGCTGCTCGATAAAGGCAGAAACACACTTACCCAAAAGTGCACAGATTAAAGAAAATGGGCGCGAGATAAAAACGACCAGAGAGACAACCAAAAAAAATCTTCTATCTCGCTCTTCGAGCGAAGGAGGTCCATGTGACGTTTTTAACACGTTACAAGTAACCAAATATACCTACTTAAAATTTAAGAAGACGCAAATGATTCATTGATAAAAGTTAAACACTGTTTATTTGTATTGAAACCAAAACAATAAAATCAGTACCCTTAGTACGAGTGCGAGCTCACTCGTAAAACTCTTACTAAGGGTGGTGTAATCTTGGAGCAACAAAATCAATTCTTGCGGCACAAATAGCAACAAAATACTATATACCTTAAGATATGGACTTATGAAATTGTTACGCTAGGGTAATATACCTCATGCTCCCTATTCCAATTCCATTTGTACTCGGAGTCCTTATCTTTAAGGGGTGACAAACAAGCATAGGAGGAGCTCGATGGCGCAAGTGGTTAGCGCGTTCGGCTGCGATCGTTGAATTTAAGCAACTTTCGCAGTGGTCGGCCATTGGATGGGTGACCAAAAATCTTCTATCTCGAGTTCCCCCGTACTTCGGAAGGCACGTTAAGTCGTTGGTCCCGGTTGTATCTGCAGTCGTTAGCACCCACCAATCGGCACTGGGCCCGCATGGTGGGTCATGGCCCAATCTCCCTATTCCATCCATAGGGAAGGCCTGTGCCTCAGCAGTGAGGACATTAATAGGCTGATGATGATGATGATCAAACAAGCAAATGGCTCCCCTGATGGTAAGCGGCCACCATAGTCCATAGATGCTTGTGATACCAAAAATATCACTTGCACCAATGCCCATCTTGACCCAATCCCCTACCGGAGGAGCCCCTTACTTACCTATAGAAACACAATACCACCAAAAGGTAGTGTTTACTGTGCTCTTTTGTAAGGTGGAGGTTACTTCATATTAGATTCTTAGGGTTTCACTCACATCACTCATTAAATAAAACTAGTTTTAACGGGTTAATGCACAAAACTTTATTTATTGATGTTTTGCAGCCTTTTGAGGTCTGCATTGTCAGAATACTGATTTTTTATTTAATTTTGTCGAGCTACCTTTGAAAGACTTTTATTGAGCATACGGTTATTTCATGGGAAGATTTTTAAAATTTTATTGTCTATGTATGAATTTATTAGTGAATTTTGTGAATAAAGTACTTTATTTAAAATTCTTTCTTGTAATTTTGAGTTTATTTATTTGACCCTAACTACCGTAAACTACCACTGGTTCCAAAATTCGGAGACCTTTCTGAGAAGAACCGGCGAAACAAACTCAGAGAGGCTTTCTATCTCCTTCTTATGTTAAATCATGTAAACAAAAAGAACTAATAGTATCTGTTGGTCTTGGTGGTTACTTCCCCGAATGGACACTCTAATCTGGGCAGAAAATCTATCTATCTTAAGTATTATAATTGGCTATCCAAGAATTAACGGGGAATGAAAATTGATGTTCTGAAATTATCTCTGAAGTAGCTTTTCAACACGACGACTTTGTTTATAATAATATAGGGAGATAAAACAGTCTTTGCTGTGTTTGATGCTGCTTCTTCTCAGTACAAGGTTTTGAGAGTCGATGGCGTAGCTTCCCGAGCTTCACAAGTGCTTGTAACAGCCTAGATTGAATAAATGTTTTTTCTTGGCTTTGATGTTCCAGATAGAGCAGGACCCTAGCGACAGTGCAGTCGGTAACAACACTCAAGTGAGCCAAGACAATACCAACCTTAGCTCGAACGACACAAGCTCTAAACTCGACCATTCCCAGATTGAGGAGGCGCTCAATAATATGGACAGTGAGCAGGTCTCTAAGAATAGAATAGGTTATTTCACAGTATGAAAAATAAGCAATTGTTGGCAACTGTATTTAATATGAATATTAAACAATGATTTTACTATTCTGAAAGTACCAATAAGTAATAAGTTTTCTAAAAAAATCATTAAATAGAAATGATTTTCTTGATCCATGGTCACGTGACCGAAAGCGCCTGGGATTGGCCTAGACTAAAATGACGTCACACACTAGTAAACTTCCGGCTAAAGTGACATAACATTTTATCGATTGACGTTTTAATGTCTGTCGTGTGACGTCACACACTAGTGAGACGCCATGATGCCCAGAGAAACTTGAAAACAGAATTAAAAATATTCACTTTTTGTACGCCGCTTTGCAAAAGGCTCATATCAGAATGAACCGCACAATTCGGCCTCAAGCGGCGCTCAGGTTAAATCTGTTTCCAGTATGTTCGCGGTTTTGGTTCGAGAGCGTTTGTGACATAATAAAGTAAAAAGATTATTTTGAAGTTGCCCAACTTTAAATAAAAATATTTGAATTAGGACGACCTGCCCGATGTGCTGAACACATTCCTGGTGATGAAGAAAGGCAATAAGACGGAGAGTAAACCCGTAGCTCAAGAGGAATCTGATGGCAACGATACCGATGATCTGTTGGTGAGAACATTTTTACTATGGTATGGGAGGTCAAGCGGGGATTTTTGGATTAACTCGTGTGCGGCACAATAACAAAAAGAGGGGCAACCTTGCACCTTGTGACTTGTACTCCCACCATACCTGAGCCCTCTATGTAGAGCCCAACGTCTAGGGCGGCAAACATTTTTTTGCCCACGTCCAAACCTTCAGTCTTTTGGCCGCGTCCAAATCGACAGTATTTTGTCCGCGTCCAAATCGTCAGTATTTTGAAGCTCGGATGCGCTCGAATATTTCTTTTTCCTTTATTCTATCCCTTCGTACGGCCACGCCCACACAATGCAAAACGTCAGATCTATATTTTTTCACGCTCCTTTGAAAATATGCTATAAAATCAAATTGAAAATTTTATTAAACATTTCTTTAAACTACGTGGTTTTACAATGAGGACACCCTGGCCGTTTTGTGATTGTGTCATCATATATATATTTTTTATTTATGTGTTTACTAAACACTTTTCACTCTATATATTTTCTCTACTCTGTATTGATAAATAGGCTCGTTGACTCATGTCGAATTGTATTAAATAAATGTTTATTTCTGAAAGTATTTGGTCTAACGAACCTAAATATTTATATCGATTTCACTTCATAAAAGCAGAAGATTGCTGTAGAAATTTAATTTTTAATAATATTCTTTAGTCTATACTTTTTAAACACTAAAAACACTGTTTGCCACATCCGCCATGATTGTGACGTCTCTTTGGTAGTAAACAACTAAATGCCATTCATACATAACCTTAAAACTTGTATTATTAAAACTGATAATAAATGAATTGGCCACTCTTTTCAATAATCCAGCAGCTACATTAGAACGTTGTAAGACAAAAGCTACAAATTGTTTGAATTTCTTTGTTTGTAGATGATATTCCTCTTGTTTTAGGTCTAAATAGTTATTTATTAAGAGGTAGGATTAAATCCTGACACTTAAGCAGCATACATATAACTCATATTTACTTATCAGTAGAGATGCTGCTTTGGCAGACACATTAGATATATATTAGGCTATAAAAGGTTATTAGTGCAGCTGTCTCGTTGGTAAACAACCTGTGGGCTGTTATGACCACATAATGACTGTAGTACAGTTTTTAAGTTGGGGTCGTTACAATGATGTTACTGCTCTGGCGCCTTATTTAGATTATTTTTTCTATGAAGATTATGTTGATTTGAAATATACCGGTAATTCAAATATAATGTGTACAATTAATATATGTAATCTAATAAAAAGTGTCCTATATTAATGTTTTTATTTACCTATACGTAAATCTGAAATCACTCACTCACGAAATCAATCACTGAAATCTGTGTTGTCATGAAAATCTATGCAGTAGGTTGGAAAAACAGTGAAAGACTAAAGTTGATCAAAAATAACAGAATAAAAAAGTACCCAAAATAGCTGTAAACCAACTTTAAATAGGAGTTATTAAGGATTTGAGGTTATGTCACATTTTTTACAATAACATTAAAACCCCTGTTTTTATTTTCAAAATTCCAATTTGTCATACTAATTTGAATATTAAACGATCATTTAACATTTGTTTGGTATTGATGCAACCATTGTACGGCGGTCCATACATCCATGAGCATTCTCCTTTACTTTGACATTTTGTCAATTTTCTATGGGTCAAAGCTAGTGTTAGTTAAAACGAGTTTAAGCAAATTTGCTGCAAGTGGACTTAAACAACAGAAAATATTTCTTTTCAATTAATTAAGTCTTCTTCTAATAAGTAATTAGTAAATTGTTTTATTAGATGCATCTATAAATGTTTGGCATAGATAAAAGATCTCTTCGGTGGTGTCGTGTGAAGCGGGTCGTTAGGTTCCCTAAGATATGGTTGAGCGAAGCGATGGCAGGTTCATGCGTCATGCTCGTGAACGGGTGCTGCCAGCGGAGATGAGTCTGCCCTAACTACTTTGATATTTTACATTTAAATGTTTAATTACACCTATTATAAATAACTCTATTCATCTCTGAAGTCATTTTTCAACTTGACGACTCTGTAAATGATAAAACAGGGAGAAAAAAACAGCCCTTGCTGGTACAGTACAAGGTCTCCCGCCGTAGATTTACGAACCGATGGCGTAGCTTCTAGACATTCATATGTGCTTGTAACAGCCTAAACTGAATAAATGATTTTGATTATGATTGATTATGATTATTTAAATTTTTAATTCAGTCTTATTCTTATTAGACCAATAGTCAATTCGCAGCTAAAAATATGTCCAATAACGAGTGGTAGGGATATTTACTTTTTGGACGATTCAAAAGAGTTGTATACGCGATTTACGCAAATGTTTTAGCGCCAAATTTTGAATTTGCGGGGTCCACCAGATTAATAAAAGCCTACTGATCATGGCGCAAGTGGTTAGCGCGTTCGGCTGCGATCGTTGATGTTAAGCAACTTTCGCAGTGGTCGGTCATTGGATGGGTGACCAAAAAAATATACTATCTCGAGTTTCTCCGTGCTATGGAAGGCACGTTAAGCTGTTGCATCTGCAGTCGTTAGCACCCACCAATCCACACTGGGTCCGAGTTGTGGGTCATGGCCCAATCTCACTATTCCATCCTAGGGAAGGCCTTTGCCCCAGCAGTGGGGACATTAATAGGCTGATGATGATATTGCCTTTCTCACGTTCGTGCGATTTATGCGATTTACGCAACTGTTTTAGCGCCAAATTTTGAATTTGCGGGTTCCACCAGATTAATAAAAAAAATTAATAATCTGGTGGAACCCGCAAATTCAATTAATTAATGTCCCCACTGCTGGGGCACAGGCCTTCCCTATGGAAGGAATAGTGAGATTGGGCCGTGACTTACAACGTGGGCATAGTGCGGATTGGTGGGTGCTAACGAATGCAGATGCAACCGGTACCAACAGCTTATCGTGCTTTCCATAGCACGGAGGAACTCGAGATAGTATATATTTTTTTGGTCACCCATCCAATGACGACCACTGCGAAAGTTGCTTAACATCAACGATCGCAGCCGAACGCGCCTACTGATCATTAATTGATTTTTTTAATCCTTGGCAGAGAATGCTAGAGGATGACGTTAAGAAGACGACAAAGAAGGTGAAGGTCGTGAGTGCAAAAGACAAGGAAGATAAGAAGAAAGCAGAGCAGGAGACCTCTAGCGACGATGAAGACGATTTTGTTTTTGAGGTAAGAGTTACTAGTAGACTAGCGGCCGCCCGCGACTTCGCACGCGAGGAGTTAGTTAGAAATAGTGGTTCCCCGTAGGTGATAGCGTGATAATATGTAGCCCATATGTTGACCCGACTTCTTAATAATATTCGTGCCAAATTTGAAGTTAATCCATGCAGTACTTTTTGAATTTATCCCGGACATACATACAGACAAACAGACAAAAATTCTATAAACTATATTTTTGGCTTCGGTATCGATTGTGGATCACACACCAAGTATTCTTTTAAAAAAATATTCAATGTACATTTTTGACTTTCCTACCATTTTATTATATGTAATGATGCCATAGATAATGGACTTTTCCCTGTTTGACGAGTGAATGAAACGGACCAAATAAGTGTGAGAGAGATCAAGCGAATGTGCGGCTAATAATTTGTATAGGTATTGGTAACATTGTTTTTTCTCGTTTTAAAGAGTTTGTTAATTCCATGCGAGTGTCTCAGATATCCCTATCTATTCTATTAATAAAAATATCTTTTACCCCCGAGGGAGCATATTCTGATCCTACTAATTTTTTTATCGAAAAGATTCCGGGAAATTTAAGTTAAAGCAAATACAACGTGAGATCCAATAAACCCAGATTGACACAAAAGACAGTAGCCCTGTGTGTACAACAAACTCAACTCCAAACTCTTTATTTGCAAACTAGGTGTTACAGACGGTTCTTAAACATCATACATAGCATCTTATGACTTAGTCACCTTGTACAGATATAACAAATAATAGATAATTAAACATTTATATTTATGATATTATATAATTGTATTATATTTAATTTGGTTTGGGAGATACCATCATTATAACATAATTTAACAAATCAAAAACAAATGAAAAAAATACAAAATAAATAATTTAAAAAAAAAATATTGTGCAAAGATGTACTTAATGAATAAAAAAAATATATACATAAACTCATTAACCACACCGCTATTCCTCTTACATCTTATTAAATTTAACTTTTATTAAATTATACATCCGATTAGTTATGCGATCTCGGAATCTCTGTGTGTTTTTTTAATTAAAGAAATAAATAATAAATATTAAATGATGTAATATTTATAGATAATTTGTCTTTGAGGTAAATAAATAGCCTCCGATTATCTGATCTCTAGGAACAACATATTTATTTGTATTTATACATGACCCAATCTCCCTATTCCATCCATAGGGAAGGCCTGTGCCCCAGCAGTGGTGACATTAATAGGCTGATGATGATGATGATGATAATTTCATTTCATTACATATAATTTCATAACACAAACAAGTGACCAGCAATCTGTAAATCTTATATAAATAGAAAAAAAGGGCTTTTGATGATAATTGTCTTATTCCCCGTTGGTCAGGGTGCATCAGTGCAGCAGCTGCGGATAGCTCACAGTGTCCTCATGAAGAAGCTGCCCGCCTCTAAAGCAGTCCCCGAAGACTCCAGCAATGATGATGACGATGAGGATGTGAGTCCATAAGTGTACACTTACGCTTTTTTTTATAGTTAGATAGATATTTTGGGCTCATTGCTGTAATAAATAGGCCTGTCCCCTAGCGTAACGGTTTATTTATTAATTTCTTTGTTAACTTTCCAAGAGAACACAAATTGCAAGATTGATTTTTTCTTAATTTATGTATGGGAAAATATTGTTACGTGTCGGGATGGGGTTCGAAATTATATGCCAGTTCACGCTTGATAGTTCTTTATTCACCACACAGTTAACACACAATGTTAATTACAAAACACACAGTATTTCACTATACAAGTCTCTAAACAATTTCACTTGAACACTTTTGTTGCACTTTGATCGCCTTTGGATTCGCTCCGAAATCGCAGTTGAAACTCAACTGTCTCTGCGCGGCGCCAATCGCGCTTATATACGCTGATCGACGCATTCTAGAAAGTACCTGTTAAATTGAGAATTAGCTAGCACCCGCGAGTACGAGGTACCTACTTATACCTACGCAGGTAACGAGTATAACTTGTACACAAGTGCAGGTGCCGTTGCACTTTCACCCTTACGCCGCACTGCATAAGGCTCATTTTAGAATGAGCCGCATTACTCGACCTCTATCGCGACCCGCGGTGATCTGGCAAATTCGATCTCTAGCACTTTCGCGGTTACGTTTCGAGAGCGTTTGTGACAATATGTACATATACAGGGCGTCCCACGGCTACCTAGAACGGAGGGAAAGTATATTAAATATTGAAGATTTTATATTTTACTGAAAGAAGACATCATTTTATTTTTAATAATAACTAGAACTGCATTCACAGACTTTTTTAAAATCGCCTACTGCAACTGGGAAACAAACTCGTGGAATTTCGAAAAAAATACCAACATATTTTATGATTTTATAGCTATTAACGGAATTGTTACCATGTACCTTGATTTTTATGAGTCTCCGATATTTCGGCACTGTTATATACATAACACAATGTATATAACAGTGCCGAACATATATACATAACATATCAGTTACTCCGTGATCATGGCGCATGCAACAGTGCCGAAATATCGGATACTCATAAAAAACAAGGTACATGGTAACGATCCCATTAATAGCTATAAAGTTAGTGACCATGAAAGTTTAAAACAATATATTTTATGATAACCATCGAAAAGGTTAATCGTAACGATTATTTTTTGCTAAATGCTATTTATATAATTGAATGTTCTGTGATTGTTTTGTATGTCCGTATTTATGTAGACCAATATTTTTTTCTTTCTTTAAATTTTTTTGGACCCCTTCCGTACAATTAATACGATATCTAGGCTGCATATAATCAAAGGCTTAAATGTCTCCATTCCTGTAGGTTTATTAGGTAACTGCTTTTGATAGATAAAAGTGATAATCACCGAGCTATTTAGTGATCCACTACTGCTTTATTATAAGTCCATTAAGATACTTGTTCCGTAAATTATCGATGGATATGTAGGAAGGCCAAAGGGGATGATCTTCCTCCGAGCTGGGTGATGGTAGCTCGGGGGCCGCGGCCCGACTAATGTTGGTCGGTCATCGTATATATGAAGAGTTAGCTTCCGAATTTCATTTGCGCGATGTAGGCTTCCATACTATTATTGATCGCAGTTCAGGTCACGCCATCTCTTGAGGATGGTAAGTAATGATTTCCTCCATCCGTTGTCTATATGTGGGGCATATAGATGTCGCCGCCACAGATATGCAATTTTCTCTTTAGTCACAGACTGTAAATCTAAAAAAGTTTTTTTTAAACGCACACCAAATGGTAGAGATGCAACGGATAGTTGCTTGGCCGGATACCGGATACCGGATATTCGGCCTGATCACTGGCCGAATATTCGACCGGCCAAACGAGTTTAGTTTAGTTTGGCGGCGGGTGTAAAATAATAGTAAAATAATGGCCGGATAGGCCGGATACCGGATAGCAACCGGATCTCCGTTTCATCTCTACCAAATAGCCTAGCCCCAAAGTAAGCACTATAAGGTTTGTGTTATGGGATACTAGGCTAACGGAAAGAATACATATACTGTACATAAATAAGTATATTTATATAGAAATACATATTAAGCATCCATGACTGGAGTACAAATGCTCGTATTCATCACATAAACATCTGCCCCCACCGGGATTCGAACCCGGGACCTCTCGAGTAGGCGTCACCATGAAACCTGGCGTACAAACCATTCGGCCACGGAGGTCGTCAATTTAATTGTAACGCCACTAAGATAATTGTTCTGTAAATCATCGATGGATATTTAATTTTCTCTTTAGTTGCACACTGTCAATCTCAAAGAAGTTTTCGAATAGGCCGGCTGTTGTACACCATACTTAGCTCTTTTGATAATTAAGTTGTTGCGGCCCTGCGGTCTTTTGAGAAGAAGACGAAATTAACATCGCATCATCACTGCGCATTTGCTATCATTTATTGTCAAGCGTTTATAATACTAAACTATATGTATCCGCCATCTTATTTGATTCATTCCTTTAACTGCTGGCTCATTCTCATGTACGTTTTAATGTACAGTAAATCTTTACTTTAAATTACTGTGTTTTATTCAAGTATAGTTTTTTTTATTTGGTTTTATTCGTGGTGGGTCATGGCCCAATCTCCCTATTCCATCCATAGGGAAGGCCTGTGCCCCAGCAGTGGGGACATTAATAGGCTGATGATGATGATGATTCAAGTACTAAATCCACGTTATACGTAAGCTAATACAAAGTTATTTTTAATGTTTTTTTCCTATTCCAGTCAACAGACAAACCTGTCGTCAGGAGAGTAAAATTCGCCCGCAAATCCGGCAACTACGCAGCTAAAAGTACAAGCAAGCCGCAGAAACCACAATCGCCAATCAACAAACAACGAGTCAGAATCACTCGTAGCGCCTCCAACGCTTCCCGAACTCAAACCCCCACCCAAACTTCTAAAACCCCCACCCAAATTTCTAAAACCCCTACCCAAACATCTAAAACCCCTACCCAAACTTCTAAAACCCCTACCCAAACTTCTAAAACCCCTACCCAAACTTCTAAAACCCCTACCCAAACTTCTAAAACCTCTACCCAAACTTCTAAAACCCCTACCCAAACTTCTAAAACCTCTACCCAAACTTCTAAAACCCCTACCCAAACTTCTAAAACCTCTACCCAAACTTCTAAAACCCCCACCCCAACTTCTAAAACCCCTACCCAAACCCCTAAAAATACTCCCATAGGTAATAATAAGACGACTACATTGAAATCGAAGAATGAATTAGCGAATGAAACTGCTAAGAAGACCATACTTACATTTGGCAACAATGTTACACTGAAAATGAGTAAGTAAAATATATCTTTACTTATATTAACCAACGATATTAAATACCCTAGATACACCAACACGAACAAAATCGTGGCCGAAACCTGTCCAATAGGTAGGTACATTGGACGATTCGCGGAGCTCCGTAAGATGATCGCGTAGTCAAAAACAAAATAAGGCATTATTTAAACATTGAAAGTCACCTTTAACGCATAATGAATAAGGTCTTAATTAAAACGCATTCGCCAAAGACTTATGACAGTTCGAAATGGAAGCTCGCAAAATTTTACGACTTATTGCTATATGCGGAAGAATATAGACCTTATTTCTTTTACTTCTACGCGCAATTCTAAACGCGCTGTTAGCAATACAGCGGGCACGGACCGCGAGGAAAAGAGACGGCTATACGGCGACGTACATGCATTTGAATATCACAAATATTTTATACTAGCTGTGTCCCGCGGTGTTACCCGCGGTTTGTTAGGGATATTTTCCCGCAGTAAAACGTAGCCTATATGTTAATCCAGGGTGTCAGCTAACTCCATACCTAATTTTATTAAAATCGCTCCAGCCGTTTAGACGTGAATAAGTAACAAACATACACACTCACACACTCGCAAACTTTCGCCTTTATAATATTAGTGTGATTAAATCAGTTTACAGTAAATATTGGAACAAAATTTGCTTCAAATGCGTTAAATTAACAAACACTGATTAAATACCTGTTGAAAAAACGACGGTTTACGTACTATAAGTATTTATTTCGCATTTTTTCTCGGAGCTCTTGACTTTTCGACGGTCCGCGCGTGACTGTGAACCAAGAAGTGCTTGAGTGGAGTTCAAGCACTTCTTGATTGGGACACATTTTGAGTGCTCGTGGTGTATCTAGGGTATTTAATATCGTTGATATTAACATAACATTGATATATTTTCTATAGGATATATTTAATATTTCACATAGTAATTTAAAGAATTTTCTTAAACTAAAATTAAAAGACAACATTTTTTTATTTAAAGATTTTTGCATGTTTATTTATATGTTTTGTCTTCTTATGTATTGTTTTTTTTTTAGTATAATACTTGTTCTATACTTAATGTTTTTCTGTAACTAATTAGTTATTTGCTGGCACTGTTGGTCGTCTCTTATAATTTCACTGTAACCACAGAACAATTATATTAAAATGTATGTCTGTTTGTAGCCACAAATAAAGAGATAAAAAGAAAAAAAATATTACAATTGCGAAGGATTTTTTTTTTGTTTGTTTGGTTGAACTCGCCAATCTCAGGAACTAAGGTCCTGTTTGAAAAAATATGTCTGTGTTGAATAATGCATTTATCGAGGAAGGTTATAGACCAATGACGTATAATATATGGACAGGTTATACGTCAACATTATTGCATTTTAAAATCGCACTAGTAGCCTTAACAACTGCACTAGTTACTTCCCTTGGCAAGAGCCATTAACAGAGTACACTACAGTAGTAGTCTCACTGTCATTCATAAAGCAGATTACATCTCGTTCTTAAGCCTCTATATCTCTATTTTTTCACAGCTTCAATGGACCTTAGACCTGAGTACATGGTTCAAATTTCAACTCGATACCTACATGGGTTTCCGAGATAAAGGGTTTTGACACACTAGACAGTTAAACGGCCGTATCTTTTGTTGACCTTAATTTAGATGTTGATTTTTTTCACAGCTTTAAGGGACCGCAGATCTGAGTATATAGTTTAAATTTCGATACCTCCATGCGTTCCCGAGATAAAGGGCTTGACAGACAAGCAGATAAACAACCCTATTTGTGTGAGTGATTTCGTTAAATGGGACGGAAGTGTGTAACAGGAAGTCGCGAAAGCGCGCGCTATTTGATTTGATTTTAGAACATAATGTTCAAATGGCTTATTCCTTTTGTAGTAGGTTTTATTAAACAGCCGTATCTTTTTCACATTCATTTTGAAGTTGATTTTTTTCTCACATACAAGGGACCGCAGATTTGAGTATATGGTTTTAATTTCAACTCCATGCCTCCACTCTTTTCCCTGATAAAGGGTCTTGACAGGCAGACGGACAGACGAAAAGGTCAAAACGTCCATGTCGATTTGACGTTCTTGTATGGGCTAAATCTATTTTTAGTTAAATCGAGATTTAGAAAATTTATTGCATGTGCCCGGCAAAAGTGGCTTGCTTTACGCATTAAATTTTTTTGCTTTTTTTTTATTTTTTATAGCCAGGTAGGCAAATGACTCTACTCCACCTGTCCTTGTGGCATGAGCACCACAACTTGCATTATATCACGTTTTTTATCGCGTCTAACTGTCAAACCCCATAGTAATTTGACAATTGAGCGTGATAAAAACGTGTTATATATCATATCATGGTGCTTATGCTAGAGGGGCTGATGTTAAGTGGTGATAAAGTCATAACGCGAATTTCAGGAATGGAATTTTATGTTAGTTCATTTTAAGATTTGAAATATGAAGGGTATCATAATAAATAAACAGCATAGGTAGAAAACGTGGAATCATCGAAATTTAGACATACAGCCAGATAGGTGAAATATTTTTTTGTGCTCGGGTCTACTTGTAGAAATTTTGCTAAATCTTAATTTAACTAAAACTACTTCTAGCCCTTACATTGACGTTTTATAATTTTTCTATGAGATATATCTAGTTTTAGGCGAATCGAGTTTTAGCAAATTTAGTGCAAATGGAGATTTAGTGGTTCAGTATACTGTCAGTATCTGGTTACATCAATATTGAGTGCCAGCCATTAGGCGACCACTAGATGTAAATTAATTTGTTATATTAGAAAATAAGTATTCTACCAATCCCTTTTTTAGATACATCATCTCCAGTGCAGCAATATACCAACAAGAACCTCAAGAAGCCCATCCTGAAGTCATCACCGGCCCCCAAACCGGTCGACAAACCAGTAGCCAAACCGGTCGAGCAACCAGTGGTCAAACAGCTCAACAAACCGGCGATCATCAAGAGAGTTGTCATTAACAAGAATGTAACAGAGAAGTCAGAGGTATTAATTTTTGATGTGTAACATCTTTCCACTCGCTTTCCTGCAATAGGGTATTTGACAGTATTAAAAATAAAGTACCAATTGTTAGCATTTGTGTTTAGATTGAATATTGGCAGGGGTTTTTACTATTTTTACAAAAAAATATTCATAATTTTACTAAAAACCCACGAAAAAGATAATAGTTTTCTTATCTATTGTCACGTGACCCAAAACGTTTGGGATTGGCGGCGCTTAAAATGACGTCACACGCAGGTAAACTTCCGGTTAAAGTGACTTTACATTGTATCGTTTGACGTTTTAATAACAGTCGTGTGACGTCACACACTAGTAAGACGCCATATTGTCCAGAGAAACGTTTTCGCGGCAACTTGAAAATGGAGTTTTTGATTTGGTTATTTTTACTGAAATATGCAACAGAATGATGAATATCCTCTTTTTACGGACTCCATAAACATTAGTCAATAACGTAAGATCGTTTTCTAAAACTTGTCAAATACCCTATTTGTGGGAGTGATTTCGTGAAATGGGACGGAAGTGTGTAACAGGAAGTCGCACAAGCGCGCGCTATTTGATTTGATTTTAGGACATAATGTTCAAATGGCTTATTCCTTTTGTAGTAGGTTTTATTTCTTTTAATTAAACTAATATAAAGTGAGGTTTCAAATGTTACACATCATACGCGACTACTGTAAGGCTCGCTCGTTTTTTCAACGCACTTGCTCTAAAATGCATTTACGGAAGTTTTCTACATTATTCGAAAGTTCATAATTACGAGACATCAACGGGGCGTGCGATAAAATGTTTTACCGCACGCTCCGTTTGATGGCTCGTAATAAACGGACAACAAAGTGATCATACAATAAATAAATAAATAATAAATAAATATTTCCAACACTCACACCAGTTAGCCTAGCCCCAAAGTAAGCACTATAAGGCTTGTGTTATGGGATACTAGGGTAACGGATAGAATACATATACAGTACATATATAAGTATATTAATATAGAAATACATATTAAACATGCATGACTGGAGTACAAATGCTCGTATTCATCACACATACATCTGCCCCCACCGGGATTCGAACCTGGGACCTCTCTAGTCGGTGACACCATAAAACCCGGCGTACAAACCACTCGACCACGGAGGTCGTCAAAATCAAGGTCATACAAGATATATTGTTTTAAACTTTCATGGTCACTAACATTATAGCTATTAACGGGATTGTTACCATGTACTTGGTGAACATTTGGTTCACTGGTTTGCTAGTATCATATAATTAATTATATCAGTTACTCCGTGATCATGGCGCTTGCAACAGTGCCGATATATCGGAGACTCATAAAAACAAGGTACATGGTAACAATCCCGTTAATAGCTATAAGGTCATATAAGGTTTCCAATATTTTCCTTCTAAGGTATGGGACACTAAAAAGATCAAAACGCCCATGTCGATTTGACGTTCTTGCATGGGCTAAATCTATTTTTAGTTAATTCGAAATTTAGATAAATTATTGCAAGTGCACGGCATAAGTAATTTGCTTTACGCATTAAAAAATACATTTACGGAAAGTTTTATACATTGTTCCAAAGTTCAAAATTACAAGCCATCCACACGGAGCGTGCGGTAAAACCTATTACCGCACGCCGTGCTGTCCCGTTTTAATATAATTGAGATAAAGAAAGTATTTTAAGACTATAACTTAAGATAGGTGTAACTACATACTCTAGATACTGTTTAGAAATTTAAAAAAACAAGCATAAATTGTTGTTTTATTTCATTTATTATGTGTGCCGATTACAATCGGCATGTTTTGCCGAATATTCTTTGATTTCCGGCTATTCGCCGACCACAAACTATGCCGAAGAGGCGTTTATTAGAGATGGGTCGACTAGCCGCAGATTCGTTATTATATGTCTTAGTAAGGAGGAGGACCTCGATGGCAAAGGTGGTTAGCGCGTTCGGCTGCGATCGTTGAAGTTAAGCAACCTTCGCAGTGGTCGGTCATTGGATGGGTGACCAAAAATCTCGAGTTTCTCCGTGCTTCGGAAGGCACGTTAAGCCATTAGTCCCGGCTGCACCTGCAGTCGTTAGCACCCACCAATTCACACTGGGCCCGCGTGGTGGGTCATGGCCTAATCTCCCTGTTCCATCCATAGGGAAGGGCTGTGCCCCAGCATTGGGGATGTTAAAACGCTGATGATGATGATGAAATCTTAGTAAATATTTCTTTAATAATTTGTTTTTAGACTCTGAAGGTGGCGAAACCGGCCGTACGCCTGGAGTCAGAGGAGATCATCAACGAAGACGAGTTCCTTGAAGATGATGACTTCGATCTGGATGAGGTGAGTAAGATAAAACAGATTATCTAACACTTTTGATGTCTCAAGTTGAAAGTTTTGGTAACTTACATCGTTATTGTCAATCTATCTGGTAAATCAGGCTTGACATAGAGTATGGACTACGTGTTACCAAACCATTTCATTCATAACCGTTTATTAAGCTATTGTATAGCTTTTATCGCGGGCTTTGAGCGCGGCGACCGAATCAAGAAATTCCGTAACGAAAAAAACCTTACGCGAGTGCATATACCAACAGTACCCCTAGCACGAACCATTATCGAATTGGAATAGTTTGCAAACCGAAATGTCAATGTCAAATTTTGTATGGAAACTTGAACAGCAGCGGCACAAAGTACGTAACGAGAACTAAAAATCAGTACACATTTGACAATGACATTTCGGACTCGCAAACGATACGAATTCGATATTGGTTCGTGCTAGGGGTACAGAATACAATTTTCGTCATTCCAGTATCGATCTAAATGGCGCAGTGTGTTGATTATTATTATTAAATTTTGCCACGGGACCAACATTCGACGCATCACCGCGGTCGTTGGTTCAAATCCCGCACTCGTTTTTTTTTTTATATATATAAGTTAAGATAAGATAATAATACTTTATTGCACAACAGTAACATAAATAACACGAATAAAATACAAATACAAGGCAAAACAATCACAGTTGCACAAAGGGCGGTCTTATCGCTAATCAGCGATTTCTTCCAGACAACCCAATGAGCTGGAAAAAGTATAAAGCACGATAATAATAATGAGGGAGGTTGTGCGGAAAACAAGACAAAAGTTTTGTAAGTAATCAATTGAAATTAATTAAAATAAACGCTAACCAAACATATAGGCATATATATACACATTCACACATATCGCAGTATAATGCAAGAGTACTACTACCGTTGCAATATTTTAATGAAAATTATGCTCATCTGACAAGAAATGCTCCTTAACTAGGGATTTGAAACAGGCTAGAGTTTGGGCACGCCTAATCTTTTCCGGCAGAGAATTCCATAGTTGGATGGCACGTATGGTAAAGGAGTGGCTATACGCCTTGGAAAAGTTAGGAGGTGTGAAAAGCAGGAGATTATCAGATGAACGAAGCGGAAGATTATGAGAAGAAGAAAGAAACTGAAAACGTTCTTTGAGATAGACAGGAGCTTTTGGATTGAACAGTACTGAGAAGAGTAGGGACAGTATATGCAGATCACGGCGACGACGAATGGGAAGCCACTTCAATTTCTGCCTGTAGTATGAAACATGGTCGTACTTACGTAAACCGTAAATAAATCTGATGGAAAAATTTTGCAGACCTTTTAAGTTTACTTAGAAGATCAAAGGTAATCAATCAATCAATCAATCAAAATCATTTATTCAGTTTAGGCTGTTACAAGCACATATGAATGTCGAGAAGCTACGCCATCGGTTCGTAAATCTACGGCGGGAGACCTTGTACTGAGAAGAACCGGCAAGAAACTCAGCAAGGGCTGTTTTTTTCTCCCTGTTTTATCATTTACAGAGTCGTCAAGTTGAAAAATGACTTCAGAGATGATTCATGAAGTCACCCTTCATTACATAATGTGAAATTATACATTAATTGTACACCTGCATTTTGATTGCTGTGTCACACAGTATAAATACAAACAGAGTTATTTATAATAGGTGTAATTAAACATTTATATCTTAAATATCAAAGTAGTTAGGGCAGACTCATCTCCGCTGGCAGCACCCGTTCACGAGCATGACGCATGAACCAGCCATCGCTTCGCTCAACCATATTTTAGGGAACGTAACGACCCGCCTCACACGACACCACCGAAGAGACTTTTAAGAGAGCATGACTACCCATAACCACCTATATCAACCACAACATATTTACTTAAACTTAAAGTCATTTATCTGTAGGACACTGCAAACAATTACAAAGCAAAAACAATGGAGAAATCATGACCACGCCGTTTTGTCATTCAAATCTTCTTAAATAGTCTGATATTCTTCCTTACGTAATCAGCTTTAAATACAGCTTTTCAATAAAAGTATCATCAACACATGATCCATAATATATATCATATAGAAATACCCGTTGGAATGGTTGGAACAGTTCAAACCCAAGCATTTTTGTCTGTAATATAATCAGACACTTTATAATAAGCATTCTTAATAAGAGTTTTTTTAATAGTCGATTTAAATTTAGTCAGGCTCAACTCTTGAATATTGCTTGGGACTTTATTGTAAAAGCGAACACAGAGGCCTCTAAACGAGTTATTAATTTTGTGGAGCCTAGTAGCAGGTAAAGTTAACTTATTTTTACTTCTAGTATTAAGTGTATGTATTTCACTATTTTTAGTAAATAAACTAATATTTTTTTTGACATATACTAAGTTTTCATATATGTAATGTGATGCAACCGTCATTATGCCTATTTCTTTAAACTTATTTCTTAAAGAGTCCTTAACTTTAAGATTATAAATTGATCGAATAGCCCGCTTCTGCAACACAAATATTGTTTGAATATCGGCGGCATTTCCCCACAGTAAAATACCGTAAGACATTACACTATGAAAATAACTAAAATAGACTAATCTGGCAGTTTCTATATCCGTTAACTGACGTATTTTCATTACAGCATATGCTGCAGAGCTAAGTCTCTTCGACAATTTATCAATATGTGGGCCCCATTGCAACTTTGAATCTAGTGTGATTCCTAAGAACACTGTGGTATCTACAAGGCTCACATTTCGATCCTTTATATTTACATTCGTTTTTACCTGTTTAACATTAGGTAAAACAAATTTCAAACACTTAGTTTTCCCTTCATTTAGCAGTAAATTATTAACGTTAAACCAGTGGACTACCTTAGAAATAGACTTGTTCACGTCGTCAATTTGCGACTGCCTACGTTTAATTTTAAACAAAAGTGAAGTGTCATCCGCAAACAATACTATTTCATGGTTATCCTTTACAAAATAAGGCAAATCATTGATATAAATTAAAAATAAGAAAGGACCAAGGATTGAGCCCTGCGGAACTCCCATCTTAACCGACGAACCAGGAGATTTTTCTCCATTGATGTCAACCCTCTGAACCCTATCACTCAAATATGATACAATAAGATCCAGAGTGGTGTCTCTAAATCCATAGTGCTGTAGTTTCCTGATCAATGTTTCATGAAAAACGCAATCGAATGCCTATGATAAGTCGCAAAACACACCAAGTGCATCATGCGAGTTCTCCCAGGCATCAAAAATTTGCTGTACAAGCTCAACACCGGCATCGGTTGTTGAGCGACCCCTTGTGAAACCAAATTGTTTACTATGCAGAAAGTTATTACTATAAAAATATGATTGCATTTGATCTAGCATAATCTTTTCAAAAATCTTACTAAAGGTGGGTAGCACGGATATGGGTCTAAAATTTGTGGGGTCAGATGTGCTACCCGATTTATGCAATGGAGTTATTTTACTATGTTTCATTAGATCAGGAAAAACACCACAGTCAACACATTGATTAAAAATGCTAGCCAGAATAGGAGCTATTGTCTCAATTACTGATCTAGAAACATCCACGGAGTTACCCCACAGATCCGCGGTTTTCTTTTTATTCAATTGGTTAAAATATTTGATTATGTCTTTAGAGTTAACATATTTAAATTTAAATTGACTAGTACCTTGTGTTATGTTTTCTTTTAATATTGATTCAGCAGCAATGGGGGAGGAGTCCAAGGATTTTGTAGTTGAAACTGGAATATCAGTAAAAAAATTCTCAAATGCTGTAGCAACTTCAGTATCTGATGTAACATTTCTATTTTCAATGTTTAAATTAAAGCTGGTATTTCGAGATTTAGATTTTCCAGTTTCATTGTTTATAATGTTCCATGTCATTTTAATTTTGTCATTACTATTCTTAATCTTACAACTTAAATAATTTGATTTAGCTGTGCGACATACCTTTTTAAATAACTTAGAATAATTACGTACATACTCTCTGAATCTTTCAGTAGTATTAATGCTGCGTTCATTGTATAGTTCATAAAGTTTTCTTCTACTGTTATGTATGCCTGGGGTGGCCCACTCACTGAAGGTTACTGCATCACTAACACATATGGTTTTGGGAACGAAGACGTCATTAAATTCTTTACAAAATATATTAAAAAAATCATTATACAACTCATTTGGACTGTCTTTATACTTTAAATAACTCAACTTCCTATCTAATTGAATTTTAAAACGCTGTATACGATTAACTGATTTTGGCACAATAGTGATACATTTCTTGGTTACATTTTTATTTGGATGTGGAAAAGTAATCAACTGACCACAATGATCACTATCTAGTTGATTAACGATTCTTTTTTTATGTGGTATTATATCCGTATAAATATTGTCAATACAAGTGGCCGAAGTGGCCGTTATTCTAGTAGGCTCCATGAACAAGTTTTCCAGATTATATGATTGAAATAGATTTCTTAATTTAATACTCAAACTAGAGGTTTCTAATAGATTAATATTAAAGTCACCACAAACAATTAATTGTTTACCAGTGATGACAATTTTTTTTAAAGCTTCATCCATAATTTCTTCAAAACAATCATACAATGCTGAAGGAGGTTTGTATACACTCAGTACAATAAGCCGGTCCAGTTCCACACAGGCGATTTCTATTGTTCGCTCAACCGAGAGGCTCACAATATCTTTACGTTCCTTAAATTTAAGTGTATTATTTAATAAAATTAAAGAGCCACCGCGAATTGCATTTTCTCGACTGAACGAACTACCAACCTGATGATTATTAAAATTAAACATGAATTGATGACTTTTAAGCCAATGTTCTGTGATACAAAATATATCTATATTGTTACAATTCATAAATAATTCAATTTCTAAGTCCTTACCCATCATTCCTTGAATATTTATATGCATCAGGTTGATAAAGTTTACATTGATTTTTAAGTTTTTGGATGGATTTTTTTTGGTTAAATTAATATTTTTATGAGAG